GAATAAGCCGATCATCTAGTCAGGCAAGTATCCCTATAGGATTTGTAGGGACCCCATATATATGCTGATTTGAACCCTCATATCCTTTTTAGATTCCCTCTTAGGTCCCGTAGACGCAGTTTGTTGAAGTAACAAGATGTTAACACTTCCGAGTTGCCTTTTCACTGTGGGTTCCTCCCTGACTTTGGACTTTGGCGTAACTCTTACTCATACTTGAACCTTTCTTGTTACACCTCTACTCAAAGCAACTCTTGTGTCATTTTGAAGAGAGTTCCTTAGACCATAGACCAAAAATCACCCATTTGAGGTGGTGGTGTGGGTGCCAGAAGAAAAGGGTATCTACCGTTTGGGTCAGAGTCATTGACATGGTCTTTTCCCCAGCTTGCCGTCCTTATATGTGCTTGTCTCATCTCTTGTAACACTTCCCCCCCCTCCCCCCTTCCCCTGGAGATTGTCTTCAAGATGTTGATGTCTAGAATTTGTAGATTTCACAGTGTGGTACAACTTTATATTTTGTCTAGGTTATTTCTCCAGGGGAAAAGGCAATAATTTCCTAAAATCCATACGAATGTGAAGACAAGCAGTATGTTACTGGTTGTTATTTTTTACAGTATTAAATAAAAATAGTAAAAAGAAAAATATCCTCGGGTGAGGATTAAAAATAAAAGTCAACAAGAGTATATGCTTGTGTCAATTTCATCAAAACCTTACTAACACACGATGTTCTAGTACAGTGGTCGGCAAACCGCGGCTCGCGAGCCACATGCGGCTCTTTGGCCCCTTGAGTGTGGCTCTTCCACAAAATACCACGTGTGGGCGCGCATGTACAGTGTGATTGAAACTTCGTGGCCCATGCGCAGAAGTCGGTTTTCAGCCTGGGCGAGTCTATTTTGAAGAAGTGGCGTTAGAAGAAGTGGGGGGTGTCGGTCGGTTGGGCGATGCCACAGGATACCAGCGTGGGGGAGGCGCCAAATATCAACAGTACTTAAACTATATAGGTAGGTTAATAACAATGTACCTACCTATATAGTTTAAGTTTAAAAAATTTGGCTCTCAAAAGAAATTTCAATCGTTGTACTGTTGATATTTGGCTCTGTTGACTAATGAGTTTGCCGATCACTGTTCTAGTATTTAAAAATTACCAATATAGTAGGTGTAAAGGACGATCTCTCATCTTAATGCCCTCTTCTCCAGTCTTCCAGACCTCCCTTGTCCTCTCAAGACTGTTCAGTCCTGGCACCTCAAAGGTCCTGGCACCCTAGGGCCTCCTGGGTCCTTTGCTCTCAGCTGCTGCCAGGTAATTTCCCAAAAGGTGTCAACTGGTAGTAACCTGAACAACTGCCCTAATTGGGACTTGAAAAGCTATAAGCACAGACTTGTATTAAGCAGCAGTGAGTTCCCTGAGGGTTCAAGTCTCAAAGAATTGCTGGTATTTGGGCAGCAACTCAAAGACCTGAACTTCTTGGTACTTGTACCACTTAAAAATACTAAAATTTAGGAAACCAATCTTCTTTTAAAGTTTAAAACTATTTCATTTTTTTTGTCAAAACAATGAAGATACATATTAATATCCCAATTTTATAGATAGGAAACTCAAGATCAGAGATGTGAAATCACTTGCTCAAATGGCAGGACCAGGATTTGAACCCATAACTGCCTGCCCAGTCTGTGCTCTCCCTCTGCCTCCTAAGGTGCCCTGTCCTCAGCTGGAGCCTCCTAGGGCTCTGTAACACTGCCCTTCCACCCCATTTCCACCTCGGCACTAAATATATCTGGACCGTTTGCTGAAAGGGTCTCCCGGAAGTTCCAGAAGGCTCTTTTCAGTGACTTTTTTTTTTTCTGATAAGAGCTGAGGCTAGAGTCACCTCTAACCAGCATGGGGAGAAAGGCTATAGAGTCCAGAGTATAAGTTTGCACCATGAAACCCTCAGGATAAATAGGACAGTATAAACATTGGGTCTCAAGAATGGGATCTGGAGCCAGACTGCTAGCTTCAAATTTTGGTTCTGCCATTTACAAAGCTTTATGATTTGGGTATATTTCTTCACCTTTCTGTGCTGTTTGCTTGCCTGTATAATTGAAATAATACCAACTACTTGTCCTAATTTGGGGATAAGTTCTTTTAAATGCCTCTAAGAACCCAGCACAGTGTCTTGAGTACAATAAAGGCCCCATTAACATTACTAGAGGGATTTGAGGACCTACACATCCATTTGGGACCCAGCCTGTGATGATGGGGGGGATGGCTTCCATGTGTGTGTGCTCAGCTCCAGGCACGGCTGCATGGGGCCCTGCACTGTGGGCACTGGCTGGTGGGGATGGAGGCAGCAGAGTAGGATCAGGAATGGGCAGAGCCAACGCCAGCACCTGGGACTCCCCTCCCTGTATTCTGGCTATGTTCGGATGTGTATGTGTGTGGTGGAGGTTGTATTTGTGTATTGATGTAGCTCTGAAAACTATGAACATGTGGGGGGCAGGACTCAATAGAACTATGTCCCCTAGGGATCCAGGGCAGAGTGCTGATGACTGAGAAGATGCAGGGCTGTGTTCACTGGGTAACTTCCTGTCCCCTGGCCCATCTGCGAAGCCCTAGAGCATGTGTTTTAACCTTTTTGTGATCAACCCCCAAACTGTGTGGAGGGGCCCAATATATCACAGTAATTTGGAGGTCACCTTCCCCTAAAGCCTCTTGGCATCCTTGCTTCAGTAGTCACCTGAGTCCTGCAGGAAGTGACCCAGAAGTGTCCTGGTTTCCCCACTGAAATCAGCAGCGATGGGAGATCAGGACCAGGCCCCGTCCCAAGTCGGGAAAACAGGACTGGGGTCACGTACCATCTGCACGTCTAGCCAGCCTTACTGTAACTGCTGAGACTCCGAGGAGCCAGGACTGTCTGTTGTCCTCTCAGAGCCTCAATCATGTATTAAAAATGTTATGGAGAACCTCAGTCCAGAGCTGTAAGCAAGATACAACCTGCCCTTGCAGATAGTACATTCCAGCAGGAGATGCTAAGCCACTAACCCCAGGGCAACTTACTTAATTACAGTTAGCAGTAAGGGCTAGGCAGAGGTATAGGGTGTGCAACAGGGCATGAATGGGGACGGTTACTGGAGTCGGGTCCCTGAGTAATCCTGCAGGAGAACGCACTTCAGGTGAAGGACAGAGCCATGGTAAAGGCCTGTGTGGGGATGGAGGGGAGGCACTTTAGCAACCACAGAGCTGGGGGAAGTGGGAGGCCGGACAGTTGGGCAGGCCAGCAGGCCCGGGCTAGAAATGCAACTTTAGCCAAAAAACAAGGAGATGCCAGGGGCGGGCCTGCAGAGAGAGGGTTTCAGATATTCATATTGCTTAGGCTTGGGCCAGGCTCAGGGAATGTGTGGAAGGCGGTGATGAGGAGGGGCAGCTCACAGATGGGAGGCTCTGAGCCAAGGTTCGGAGCTGGGCCCATGTAGAGCATATGCAGGGAGTGGGAACAGCCTATGAGCAGAGACAAAAATTTGACATGGAGTAGGAGGGAGCCAAGTGAGCAGCAGTTTTAGGGGAACCCCCCCCCCACGCATAATGGGGCTCCCTTATCTTACCATTTGGGAAGGCAGGCTTGATGCCACCATCTTGGCTCTTGCAGGGGTGGTGAGAAAGTGAAGCACATTGAATCCAGACCCCAAACACTTCTCCAGCTAAGGCTAGGTGGTCCCATGTGGCAGCAACAGCAGCTGGATGACATGCTGAGGGGCCACTGAAGGTGGTATTTCTGACTGGGGGCTTGTTCACCCGTTCACTAACTCATCCATTCTTCTATGCACACATCAAGCCTGTGCCCGACACTGTCCCAGGGACCTGAGAGACGGGGTGCTCTGCCTCCAACAACAGTCTGGCTAGGCCTGATATGGGGAACCACAGGCTGGCAGAATGGAGCCAGAGCACTGAGTGCCAGGACCAGAAGGAAGGCATATTTCCTCATCATGCTCACTCTCCATTCACAGTCCGCTGCAGGAACTATGTGCCACTGAGTGGCCTCCTGTAATGTTATGTACCCTTCCCCAAGTTACATGATACCAGGCCCGAATTCTTCAACTCTTCCAGGGAAACATAATCACCAACAAAAACAACACAGGAAGCCTGGCTTGCTGATCACAACTCTCACCATCCCCATTTGATCAAAGGTGGGCTCTGGCTCTATCTACCAGAGGGCTCAAGGAAAACAGCAGGCTCAAGATGGGACACCAGGCCGGGTCGACAGTCCACTTCTACCCCTCTGCTCTCATCATGGTCTCCTGTCAGCCAAGTTCATCCCATCTCCATCTCCCCTATGCCCCACCTCACTTCCTCTCTGAGTCCTGACCATGCTCAATATTACAACAGTTTAGCAATGGCTTTTCCTTCCTCTTCGTTTGGCCAGAGCTCCAGCCAGGTTTCCCTCACCATAGGTCCTACCAGGTTCCAGCCACACGTCTCCCCTTCAGGCCCAGGGGCTCTCCTGGGGCCCACCACACCTTGTTGGCTTCCCAGCACTTTCTGAGCATGCCAGCTGCACTTGGACACACCACCCTTAAAGCCCTACTGCAAGCTCATATTTCCCAGCCTCACAGGCACAGTAGCTTCTCATCTTGACCTCTCAAGGCTTTTTAAAAAAATGTTTTTATTGATTGATTTTTGAGACCGAGGGAGGGAGAGGGGAGATAAAAATATTGAGAAACATCATTGATTGGCTGCCTCCTGCACACCCCCTACTGGGGATTGAGCCTGCAACCCGGGCATGAACCCTCATTGGAAATTGAACTGGTGACCTCTTGGTTCCTGGGTTGATGCTCAACCACTGAGCCACACTGGCTGGGCACCCCTCAAAGATTTAATCTCTACCACAGAAGGAAACTGGGATCTGACCAACAGGCAAACCATGGGGTGGTTCTTCACTGGAGGAGTGTTCACATCCTGCAACCACCTCTGGTGGTGAGATGTATGACCTCATCCCCACAGCCTACTGGTTTCAAAGACCTAGAAGGAGGGACATCCCGTTTATTTATGCCACACCCCTTTGGCCAGAGGACCCACAATCCTGCCAGAAGTGTACATCATCCCCAATTTACAGTGGAGTAAACCAAGGCTCAGATTCATAAAGGGATGTGCCCAAGGTCGCTTAGATCAGAAGAGGTGGGTTGAGGTAGAATCCAGGCTGTTTAACTCCAGTAACATTGGGCTGTGGGTGCAGAGAGCCCCCAGGGTCAATGGCAGGGTTGTGCCTGCACGAGCTGGAACTGTCCGTGAGATGATCCCTTCAGGAGTGGCCTGGGTTGCGTGTCGCCCTCCACATCTGCAGCATGGAATCCCGGCGGGTCGTGTAGGGTAAATGTTTGATGCGGAACCAATGTCTGGGAATGATGTTCCCACTGGGCGTATACAGCTTCTTTCCGGGTGGACCCAAGAGACTGCGCAGGGCCAGGTTGCCAGACAGAACCTTCTCATAGAACTCCGCTCCACCCTGGGCATAGGCTGCAGACATGGAAGCTGTGCGGCGGTCCAGCCAGGCTTCCAGGGCATGAGTGAGAGAGTCTGTGGAGAAGGCGTAAACCACAAAACCTACCACTGCTGCCACCAGGTTGAAGGCAACTCTTAGGTTCATGGGGCCTCCATAGAGCCCCAGGGCATGCTTGGCACTCATGCTCAGTGTCCAAGTTCCTGCCAGGCAAGCTGGGGCCGGCAGGGCCTGCAGGGCAGCTGTACCGCTCTCCAGGTACACCACCTCCCTGGCCAAGGCAAACTTCTGGGCATCATGGGACAGGGTCAGGGCATCTCTCAGCCGGGTACCTTCTGGGCTTTTCCAGTCCACTCTTTGCCCATGTACAATCACAGGGCGGTCAGTGTTGGTCAATGTGTCACCCAGGAAGCTGGCGGGGATGCCCACCACGGCCCCAGCAGGGAGTCTTGGGAAGCCAGCACTCACCGGCTGGAAGGTGAAAGTGGTGAAGGCCTTGTAGCAATGGCCTGACGGGACGCCAACGTCCTGTAGCACCTCTTGGAAGAGTCTCTGAAGCTTTGGGGAGAGCAGGGCTGGCTGGCCCTGAGGCCAGTACTGGTATAGCCATCGAACCACAGGATCTGGGAAGAGGTGGTACAAGATCTGGGCCCCAAACAGGCCTGCACAGGAACCCACCAATAGGCCTGTCCTATGTCTCTGCACAAACGCCGCGGCCCGCCACAGGGGACCTGCCATGGATGCTGCCACTGCTATACACCTGGGCCGAGAAAAAGAGAAGTCAGCCAACGGCTCCCTGGGTCTGCCTGTAGACTGAAAATCCTCCCAGGGCCACATCCTTTCTAACCTGGGCAATACAACACAGTGGTGAGAGCCCGAGTTCCAATCTCAGTTCACCAGCCTCCCCACTGGCCAAACAGACATGTGAAAATGACCCACCATTGGGGTGGCTGTGATGAGTAAATGAATGAACACACATAAAGCAATTAGTGTCTGGCACAGTAGTGGACAGCGTGATCATTTCTGCGATTATTACTTTTATTCCCACAGCATTACTAGTAAGTGCCCAACTGCCTCACTCCATTATTTACCCGAGTGAAGCGCTACAACCACGAATTTACAGGTGAAGCATATGTTCAACTTACTGAGTACTACTGTATGTTAGACAATTCTGACAGCTTTGCAAGTATTATCTCACAATGAAATGCTCACAACTCCATGACCTAATTACTATATTTGCCCCTATTTAAAGCAGTGAAAACTGAGGCATAGACAGGCTAAGTACATTGGTCAAAATTCCAAACTAGTAAAGTGGCTGTTATGGGCTGAATTGTGTCCACCCAAATGCATATACTTAAGTCTTAACCCCAGTTCCTCAGAATGTGACTGTATTTATAGAGATGGGGCCTCTAAAGAGGTAGTTAAGTTAAAATGAGGTCATTAGGGTGGGCCCTAATCCAAGATGACGTCCTCATGAGAACAGGAGATTAGGACACAGACACAGAGGGAAGATCCTGAGAGCTGACAAGCCAGAAATCGATCACCCACAAGCTAAGGAGAGAAGCCTCAGACGCAACCAGCTCTGCCGACACCTCCATCTTGGACTTCCAGCCTCTAGAATCATTAGAGAAATAAATCTCTGCCATCCAGTTCTTGTCATGACAGCCCTGGCAGACTAGTGATTCAGGCACAGTATCTGAGCACAGGTGGTCAGGTGTTCACAGCAAACTTGATTTTAGAAAAAATCTTAGCCCTGGCTGGGAGGCGCGGTTACTTACAGAGCCATCCCTACACCTAAAGGTTGCCAGTTTGATGCCTGGTCAGGGCACATACCCAGGTCAGGGCAGGGACGGAGGCAACTGATTGATGTTTCTCACATCGATGTCCCTCTCTCTAAAATCAATTTAAAAATAGCATATCCTTGTTTAAGGATTAAACCAAAATTGTAATGACAAATTGCAAACATACAAAAGTAGAAAAAAATATTACATCAACTTTAATCACATGGCCAATCTTGTTTCATCTCTACTCCCACCCATATCCCCTCTCTAACTGGTTTATTTTGAAAAACATCCCGGGCAACCCATTATTTCAAATGTGAATATTTCAGGAAAGTTCACAATTAATTTAACTTCTTTTGAAGCTTCCTGTCCTCCTGTCTATAAAAAGTTTGTGTGTGTGTGTGTGTGTGTGTGTGTGAGAGGGAAGTGTTTAATTAGATAGTAAGTTGCTGCAAATAAGAACGTGGGGCACTTATTTTAATAAATTCCTAGTCACACACCTGGCCCTTTTTTCCGATGAGGAGACAGCTAGGAAAGGAAGGGTCCTGGGCAGGTCCCGATGCCCGGCACCTGCGCCCAGGCCGCCCCGTCGGCACGCACCCCTCGGCAGCTGTGAGAGGACTTCCTGCGGCTCCCAGCCGGGCCCCCAGGCTCCGCTCGGGTCTCCCACTCGCTACCCGCAAGGGACCTGGGGGGGGGGGGGGTCGCCCCTGGGTGCCCGCACCGAACAGGCAGGGCCGCACGCTCACCTCCGCCGCCTTCACCGATGCAAACCTAGGACGCCGCAACGTGTCCCGCGGGGTGGGGGCGGGGCCTGTCGCAAAGCACGCCGCCGGGGGCGGGGCCTGTCGCAAAGCACGCCGAGGGGCGGGGCCAGGGGGCGGGGCCTGTCGCAGGAGGCTCCTCCCCCAGCTGAGCGCCTTGCGGGTGGTCTGCGACCTGCAGCGTCCTGGAGGCGGATTGGCCGCTCGGTTTAACTCTGGAAGATACGCGGCTCCGCGGGGTTAGGAGGCGGGTCATAGCCCAGCCTCCGTGAGAGTCCCTGCCGGCCCGACTGCCGGGCCGTGAGCTTTTCTGGGAGGAAGCGCACCGCCGGCGGGGTGCTCTGGGCCTTAATGACCACGCCCTCTGCCCCGCACCCCAGTTCCTCTCAGGTGATTCACACTGTACAGGCCATAGAGCAGCGTCTCATCTGTCACCTCGCCTTCCAGCAGCTCTATGAGTAGGTCAGGGATGGGCTTGCCTGTGCACCAAGTCCCGCTTGCCACCTGCTTTTATAAATAAAGGTTTATTGGAATACTGTATAGCCAATTGATTGGGGATGAGAGTACCTACTACCTCCTAGTCACTAGGACCTAGTGTAATTGTGGGGATTCAACGAGTTCGTGTGTGGATAGTGCTCAGCACAACCCGTGCCATGTAACTATTAGCTGTTATTATTAAGGTCTGTTCTGGTTCTGAGACTCCAACTTTGGCTGCTCAGTTGTTTGTATGCAAATGATGCTATAACAGCTTTTAATATGTAACCTCAGCCAGATCCAGATGTGGGATATTCTACAGGGCAAATGATGTGGTATTTCTAACAAATCAATGGCATGAAAAAGATGGAGGCAAAGGAGACTTGAAAGATAGCAGTTAAATGCGACATGTGGCTTTTATTAGGGTCCTGATTAAGTGAGTTTACTAACTGTCAAAAAAGACGTCATATTCAGATTTCCCCAACTTTGGGGAAATATGGACTGAGTATTAGGTGAAATTAATAAATTGTTTATTTTGTTAGGTGGGATGAAGCATGATATTTATGTAAACAAAAAAGCCCTTGTCAACTAGAGATGAATATTGAAGTACTTAGAAGTGAAAAGACATGATGTCTGCTATTTAGTTTAAAAGATTACAGCCATAACAAAACAACAATAAAACAGGCATATATGAAACAACACTGACAAAATGTTGGTAATTGTTGAAGCTTCATGACAAGTTTGGGGGTGGCGGGTTGTTCATCAGACTGTGCTGTATTTTATATATGTCTAGATATTTCCATAATAATTTTTAAAAAAATATATTTTATTGATTTTTTTACAGAGAGGAAGGGAGAGGGATAGAGAGTTAGAAACATTGATGAAAGAGAAACACCGATCAGCTGCCTCCTGCACACCTCCTATTGGGGATGTGCCCTCAACCAAGGTACATGCCCTTGACTGGAATCGAACCTTGGACCTTTCAGTCTGCAGGCTGACGCTCTATCCACTGAGCCAAACCAGTTAGGGCTCCATAATAATTTTTTTTAATATATTTTATTGATTTTTTACAGAGAGGAAGGGAGAGAGATAGAGAGCTAGAAACATCGATCAGCTGCCTCCTGCACATTTCCCACTGGGGATGTGCCCGCAACCCAGGCACATGCCCCTGACCGGAATCAAACCTGGGACCCTTCAGTCCGCAAGCCGACGGTCTGTCCACTGAGCCAAACCGGTTTTGGCACCATAATAATTTTTTAATGTGTCTTTAAAAATAGGCTGACCATTTTGAGTTTATTCTTGTGTATGGTGTAAGTTGGTGGTCTAGTTTCATCTTTTTGCATGTGTCTGTACAGTTTTCCCAGCACCATTTGTTGAAGAGACTGTCTTGACTCCATTGTATGTTCTTGCCTCCTTTGTCAAATATTAATTGACCATAATGGTGTGGATCGATTTTTAGGGTCTCTGTTCTGATCCATTGGCTTATATGTTTGTTCTTGTGCCACTACCAGGCTTTGATTACAATGGCTTTGTAGTATAGTTTGATATCTGGTATTGCGATCCATCCAACTTTGTTCTTTCTCAAGATTGCTGTGGCTATTTGGGGTCTTTTTGGTTCCATATAAATTTTTGGAGTATTCTAGTTCTGTGAAATGAAGTATGCATTGGTATTTTAATAGGCATTATATAGAATCTATAGATTGCTTTGGGTAGATGGACATTTTAATGATGTTAATTCTTCCAATCCATGAACATGGTACACACTTCCACTTGTTTGTATTTTCCTCTATTCCACCCCGCCCCCCAACATCCTATAGTTTTTCTAGTGTAATTCTTTTATCTCCTTGGTTAAGTTTATGTGAGAAATGCTCAACTGTCTGAATTCAAATAATGGACTCAGAGATAGAAATATGGCAAAAATGAGACTTTTAATACACTCTCCAGAGTGGGTGTCCATCCCATCTGGTATACAGGCACACTTGGGGCAGCAAACATAGCCCATTTATTCAGTCCCTCCTCCAGTTCTCATTGGCTGAGCACCATGGGGGTCACCTGTTTCCTCATACATCGCCTATGTCTTGCTGTCTCCCATTGGGCAATTTAAAAAAATTGAGCTGAGGCCTTCTCTAGTTGCCTCCACCTCCCCCTGTCCAGCTGAAGCAGGCCCCTCAGGCGGTTTCTACCATGATGCTGGCCCATGTGCCCTTTGTTCTTACATCCTCTTTCCTCCTCCCTACATTCTGTTTGCCCTGGGGAAATTCAGCAAATCCCATCTAAAGCTGACCATGCTGGAGATGGATCACAGAGGTCCATTTCCTTGAGTTTATTCCAAGATATCTTATTTTATTTTTTTAATGGGATTTTTTTTTTTTTTTTTTTAGTTTCTCTTTCTGAGAGTTCATTATTGGTATATAGAAAGGCCATCAATTTCTGGGTGTTGATTTTGTATCCTGCTACTTTGCTGAATTCATTTATTAAATCTAGTAACCCCAAAACACCAATCAGAAAGAATGTATGCACCCCTATGTTCATAGCAGCATTATTTACAATAGCTAAGATTTGGAAAGAGCCCAAGTGACCATCAATAGATCAATGGATAGATAAAGCTGTGGTACATTTACAATAGAATACTATGCAGCTGTAAGAAAGAAGGTTCTCTTACCCTTTGAGACAGCATGGATGGACCTAGAAACTACCATGCTAAGTGAAATAAGCCAATCATAGAAAGACCAATATCAAATGATCTTACTTATTTGTGGAATCTGATGAACAAAATGAATTGATCAACAAAATAAGACCTGAGACATGGAGATATGGAGCAGACTGACATATATCAGGGAGTTGGGAGGACAAGAAGAGATAAACCAAATAACTTATATGCTTACTAGAGATCCGGTGCATGAAAATTCGTGCACTTGGCAGGGGGGTCCCTCAGCCCAGCCTGTGCCCTCTCATAGTTCAGGAACCCTTGGGAGATATCCACCTGCCAGCTTAGGCCCACTTCCTGGGGGATCAGGCCTAAGCTGGCAGTCAGACATCCCTCTGGCAGCCTGGGAGTTCTTGGGAGATGTCCGACTAATGCTAAGCCATTAGTCGGACATCCTTAGTTCTGCCACAGAAGCGGGAGAGGCTCCCGCCACCACTGCTGCATTGGCCAGCCATGAGCTGACTTCTGGCTGAGTGGTGCTCCCCCTGTGGAAGTACACTGACCACCAGGGGGCAGCTCCTGCATTGAACGTCTGCCCCCTGGTGGTCAGTGTGCATCATAGTGACCGGTTGTTCTCGGTCATTCCATTGTTCGGGTCAATTTGCATATTACCCTTTTATTATATAGGATATGCATAGCCCATGGACACAGACAATAGGGTGGTGAACGCCTGAGGGGTAGGGGCTGGGCAGAGGGGGAGTACATGTGGGAGAATGGTGAACATTTGTATTACTGTGAACAATAAAAAATATATATATATTAAAAAATAGGTTGACCAATTTGACTTAATCAAATGAAAAACTTTTGGTCATTAAAGAACATTATTAAGAAAGTCAAAAGACAAAACAAGTCAAGAGACAGTTTACAGAATGGGAGAAAATATTTGCAAATCATATATATGGTAAGGGTCTAGTATGCAGAATATGTAAAGAACTCCTAACAACTCAACAACAAAAAGATAAACAACCCAGTTAAAAAATGGGCAAATAAGATTTATAAATGGCCAACAAGAACATCAAAAGATGTTTATCATCATTAATCATTAGGAAATCCACACTACCGGTAAGATACTACTTCACCTACTAGAATGGTCATAAAAACAACAAACTAACAGAAAATAAATGTGTGAGTGTGCAGAAACTGAAACACTCGTGCATTATGGGTGGGAATATAAAACGGTTCAGCCCTTGTAGAAAATAGTTTGACAGCTCCTCACAAAGTTAAACAGAATTACTGTATGATCAAGCAATTTCACTTCTAGGAATATACCCAAAAGAATTGAAAGCAGGTACTTAAACAAATACTTGTGCACAAATGTTCACATATAATCACAGTAACCAAAAGGTGGAAACAACCCAAATGTCCATTAATTGATGAATGGATAAATAAATAAAGTATGGTATAATCCACACAATAAAATATTATCCTATATAATAAAAGCCTAATATGCAAATTGTCCCCTCCACCGGGAGTTTGACCGCTTGCTGTGATGTGTGCTGACCACCAAGGGGCGGCGTGGAACATGGTGGGCGTCGGTGATGTGGCACTGGCAGCAGGCAGCAATGGAGGCACTGCTAGCCCTGATGGGCCCGATGAGAGTGGCACCATGGTGGGATAGTGGAGCAGGAGAGTGGGTGGTGCCAGGCCAAGGCAGGTGGGAGCAGGGCCTGATCGCCCTGTAGATGGCGACCAGTCAGGGCAGCGGAGGGCGGGCTGCCACCCAGCTCCCAGGTGCTGAGGGAGCTGGGTGGGGCCCGATTGCC